TGTCTACTTTTTGAACTGTTTAAACCTGTTCATACATATATGAGCTGCACTAAATGTACATGAGTGTACATCATAACACATTTACGGATTTTGAGCTATTCATTATGCAAACTCAACTACATTTTTACACACCAATTTAAAATCACTGGTATTTGAAAATGCATTAGATTTGTAGAGCTCGTCTTATCACATTAAACTTCCTCTATTAAACAACATCTACTAATCCCAGCTGGACGTTTTTAGCTGAGAGGCTGTCAGAAGAATTAAATAGGACCTGAGCAGAATGATCAAAGCAAAGGCTGCGCAGTGAAACATCAAATGTAAGATGAGCGTATTCTACAAAACACTTCCCTGCATTAGACATCAGGATATTCATGCCTGGGCTTGTGTCTTATATCCAGAGAGTAACTGAACAAAGCTTTTCTAAGAAACGTCCAAAGCTTGTTTTCAATAGATGTCTCAGACAAAGCAGTATAATACCAGGAAGCTGCCTGTATGAATAACTGAAAGTACAGGCAGCAGTATGTATAAGAGAACTGTTTTGGTCATTAACTAAATACACATACCAGGCAAAACAGAATAGAGTGTTAAAACGGGATGTTGTATATCCTGTAGTGCTTCAGATAACTGAGAAAGAACATTATCTGCATTGATATTATAGCTTCTTCTTGCTGCAGTGCCCACCGAGCACCTCCGGAAATTCAACCTGAACTGACTCATTCATGTGTGATGTGTGAGCTGATAGTTGAGAGCTTAAATCATTACAAATTATGTTACAGAAAAATAAGAAAGGATTAGAACCGGACCAGATTATCCAATTACCATACTGGGTACAGGCTCAGGGATCGATATTTGAGAGCTAACTATCTGATATCACTGTGTTTCCAAAAAACAACAACAAAAAACAAGAGGAGAATATACAAAGCTCTGTAACAGAAAGATAAGCTGAAATAACTAGAGGTCAAAGTTACACAGGAATTGGAATTAAAAGCAACTGGAGCAGATGGAAAAATGGGAGGAATCATTTCAAGCAGGACATAAATGAACAAATATCCAACATGGAAGGAGTTTAGAATGGGAAATCAAAATGTTTTAATTTGATTTTTTTTCTTGTGAAAAATAGTCTTTAACTATACAAATGAGGAAAGACAATAATTTATATAGAGATTTATATATAAAGATGTTTTAAGAGCTGTTTGCAACCGAGAAATAGAATTGAGAAGTGTTTGGGGTATGTATATGTTTATTTGCACATCGTTTATATTTGGTGATGTATTATGTGGAAGAATAAATGGAGGTTTAAAAAAGAGAAGAAAAAGAAAAACAACGCAGTGAAAGGAACATTAATAAAGCGTTTTAAATAATTATTTGTAAATTGTGTAAAATCATTCCTATGACAGATAAATTTACAAATATTCAAGTTCATCAACTCAAGTAAGTAAATAAACAGATATTTTTACTTATTTCATTTTATTTTTCGCAGTGTCACACTGCAATTAATTTAACTTGCATTAAAGACTTGTTGGAAATAACATGAAATAGTTTCAGATATATGGTTTGACATTTATATACAGAGATGTTTTCAGGAAGTACAAGCTCGTTCGTTTGAGAATTGTGGGAAATTGTTTGAGCATTGTTTGTAAACGGAGCTGGCCTTTGAAAACCCGTGTGGTCTGTTTTGATGATGTTCTGGACTGATGCACTGGACAGTTTCTATGTATTGAATTTCAAAACTTTGTTGTGACATTTTACAATAACTTATATCATAATCCAGACTATTGTAGATGTGGGTAAATGGTGTGTAGTGGTGTTTGCTGTATGCTTGTGACAATTGTCTGAACTTCTTTATTTTTGTTATCTGAATACTAATTTTAAAACTCAGATTAAAGAACCCAAAGATCATTTGTGTCTTGTGCTGGTTGATTTCGTCAGACTACAATGTCCTGCTTCGTGAAGGACATTTAAAGCTCTTCTTTGGTTGTTGGATGCTTTTCTTTTGTTCTGTTCTCTGATAAGATCATCAGTAAAACATGCTACCACTGTG